GCATTCAATAACTCTGCCTTCTCTGTATCCTTCGTCACCAGGGCACCCGCCCCATTCAGCAGCGGGCCCACGTTTTCCCTAGTCTTCCTTTTGCTATTGATGTATTTGAAGAACCCCTTCTTGTTGTCCTTGACATCCTTTGCCAGATTTAATTCCAGCTGGGCCTTAGCCTTCCTTGTCGCATCCCTGCATACTCTGACTGTTCCTATATTCCTCCCAAGTGGCCTGTCCCCTTTTCCACATTCTGTATACTTCCTTCTTCTGTTTGAGTTCTCAGCGGTTCCTTGCTCATCCATGCAGGTCTCCTGCCCACTTTGCTGGACTTCTTACTCATAGGGATGCACCAACCTTGAGCTTAGAGGAAGTGATGCTTGAATATTAACCAGCTCTCTTGGATCCCCCCCCTCCTTCTTTCTAGGGCTGTAACCCATGAGATTCCCCTAAGTAGGTCTCTAAATAGGCCAAAGTTGGCTCTCCTGAAGTCCAGGGTTGCGATCTTACTTATTGCCCTACTTCCTCCTTGCAGGATCCTGAACTCCACCATCTCATGGTCACTGCAGTCAAGGTCCTTAATTCTGTAGCCTCCTCCCTGGAAATGCCATACACTTTCTATGCTACTGAAGACAGGCCTCGCTAGTGGAAGTAGTGATTAATTCGACAAGCAATTAACTAAACTATTGAGCCCAAGTGTCCCATCAGTAACCAACCTGAATAGAGAGACCAGTGAATGTGCTGACAGGCAGTGGAACATTAATGAGTAAAATAATTATAATCCTGTAGATGTTAAATAAGAATGACAAAACAGCTACGTTGGCTCTTGCTCATTCTGAGTTTGTGCATCAAAGAGGTGTAGTCTGTCTTCAAATGTTATATACTAAAGCAAAAGCCAAGATAAAAGGGCTGAGCCAGTCCCTGATCTGATCTCTTATAAAAAGGAGAGGTCATTTCATGAACATCCCCTCTGAGTTCAAATACGTTTAGAATTTCAGCGAGTACTGTTATATTTGACTTATAAATATAGGTTAGAGAACAATCCCTAATTTTTAAGTATTCTCTGTATCCTGCAAGGACTCCCACCCACTTTTGCTAGCCAATATGGATCATGTTGCAAGTAAATTCCTCTGTTAAATGTCAATGTCTCCAATGAATGCATTAACATATTTTCCAAACAGATTGTTTCAAGAGATTTTTAAATTGTTAGTACATTTTATATACAGCAAAGGTCCTTAGAGATGTCTGTTTTTCTTAGTTTCCTGTTAACTTGGCAAGGATTGAAGCCCTAGGCTTCCGTGTCAAACAGGAGGAACTTCTGATGTTCATTGACCAGTGAGACTAATAATATCTAATTACAGCAAACGTTTCTCTCACATGGGCACTCCCAATTCTTCACACAACAGACACTGAGAATGTTCTCAACTTTGTTTTTCCCTCCCTGTAAATTGATAAAGTTCCCAGCAAAATGCCAATTAAAACGCTGCCTTCATAGCACCAAGGACTCATCCTTTCTGGTCCCAGCTTTATTAACAGAAAGATTGTTCCAAACAAAAACAAAGTAACTCATTGCAAGAATTTTTGGCTCAGCTCTTCCTGGTTTTCTTTCTTTTGGGACTTTCTCCCAAATATTCAAACAGCTCTCACCTCCATGCAGCATGAAGCAAGAGATTCTGGCAGATCCAATGTCTGCTGTGAGGCTGGGGGCAGCAAGAGGTTCCTGCTAGCTTGTCACAGTCCAGGTTGAAGTTCAGCTAAATATTTTTGTTTTAGGAGGTTTTCACAGCCTCTTCCTGCAGAATGCAGTGTACTTGAAACATTTAAATTAGTGTAAGGTATTGCAGAAGTTGTAATGCAAAATTAGACTAAATAAAATGGCAGAGGGAGCATTTTTAATAGAGAAATAAATGTCACATTGGGGTTACAGTCCTTCTAAGAGAGAGAGAAAGTTAGAAGTGGAACTGTGACTTCAAAGGTCTTTGGAAAATAGCAACTTATTCCTTGGAGACAAGAGAATACAGCAACAAACCAGCTGGTAGGGAGGGGTGATGCCAGATGCTGCAATTTCTGCTTTGGGGTAGGAGGGGGAGCAGATGAAATAAAGGAAATGTGTTCCAGTATAATAGCCTGCTAGAGGAATAATGCTTCAGGAAATAGAAGCATAAGAAGAAAATAATGCTGTGCCCCAACACACCGGAAGTTTGAGGTCAATGCAGAGCTCCAGTGTCTCCCCAAAACACATAACATTTTCTCTTACTGATAATTTTATTATTGTTACTCAAGTCCATGGCACAGGAGGAGCATGGTTCTGGGACCTCACAGAGATAAAGTTACAGGCATGCAACTGTTGCCCAACAGAGTGACAGAGGAGAAAGGTTCAGAGTGCTGGTGACAGGGTTTCTGAGGAGAATGCAGAGGGGAAAGAAGAAGGCTACTTTGAAGACGCTATACGTGGTTATTTAAGTTTCAAGCTGAGACTGAAGTAACTCTCACAGTGAGAATGAAGGATAACAAGGTTGCTGCAGGACTAGCAGCCAGCAGTAAACCACACCATTAAGACCTTTTTTTGCTTACGCTTTAACTTAACAATATGCAGTTTTCAGCCCTGTTGATGTCACCTCTGAATTTACATCACTATGCCTCTAGCCTATACAGTATATATTTCTGTAGAGGAATATGTAGTCATAGGGTGCTTTCTCATGAGATTGAGCTAAGCAGGATGCCTGTCTGGTAGCAGCTAGCTTCTTTACTAAGAAAATATTCAAACCATTACATCTCCTTCATTTTAGGACTGGCTCCAAAAATCAGTCAACCTTTGCCTTACAGAAGAGCTGACAGACCAATCTTAATGCATGCAGATCTCCTAGTGTGCACTGCGCCTTTCCCAAAAGAACGAGAACTGACCTTCAAAACAACACACCCAAACCTCACTAGTTTTAAGAGAAACTTGTCACCAGCCAGGTATCTGATAAGGAAGAGTTTTAAACTGCTTTTTCCTGGCACCCCTTTCACCTACAACTCTTGACTTAGAAACTGGCTCAAGGAGGCACTGTAGTCACAGAAGCAATAATATGATGCCCCGACCCTTCTGGCAAACAAAACCAGAGGGGCAGCTGAGAACAAGCTTTACTGAGGTAGGATCAGCAGTACAGAAAGTATTCATTTCCTTAGCAACTAGGACAACCTCTCCTTTAATTAGCGCTTCATGATATGAACTTTGCTCATAAAGACTGCCTACACTCCATGCTAACCATGGATTAGGTAATCTTGCACTTGTCAACATGTGGCAGCCTACCACACTTCTGCATCCTGACATTCTCCACGTTAGCACTCTGTTTGCAGGTCCCACATCTGCAGGCATGCTGTAGGTGGTGGAAATGAATGATGCGTCCTTGCAGGTTTCTTGCCCAAGATTCATGATGCCACATCCCACTGCATGTTTCTCTGGGCTGGCATGCACAAAGTGTTGTGGAACAGCTTGTGTGTGCTCCTTTGGGATTTGGGAGGATACCATCTGTGCCAAAGGAATTAGTTTCCTGGTGTTAGCAGATGTGGTAGAGAAATGACAGGGCTCCTTTACTGCCCAAGCGGCTCCCTCATCCGTCCTGCTCTGATTGTCTCTCTGTGGCACTCTCTTCAGGGACTTCTTCCCTAGCATCATCACTGATGACTATTGCAATCATGTAGGAAATCACCCTGATTTGGTGACACCAGCAATTACAGAATATCACTTCACAGAGGCTTGTAGTGCCTTTCTGTGTTGTTCTGATGCATTTTTAGCAGAAAAAAACAAAGTTGAGTAAAAACCTGATCAAAGAAAACTAACTTAATGTGTAGATGAAAACAGGTTTTGAGAGAAAATAAAAGTATTTACTAAACCACTGTCATAGCTCTAAATGCAGCTCTTATAGACACATTCAAACTTCTGTCCATCAGTAGCACTAAGTTTAGAGCAGACTGTAAAACTAGTCTGAGGTAACACATGTTCAGATATTTATTCTGGGCTGAGTTCTGTACTGTCATGAGTATTGGAGAGGTAGAGTCCAAAGTTAGCATGGGTACATCTGTGTAAAATGCTGCCACTCTAATGGAACAAATCGTGCTCTGAGACACAACAGTTCTCACCACATAGCAGAGAGAGGGAGAAAAAGTTCATTCAAAAGAGGAGAAACTAAATTTCCGTTTTTAAAATGGGTTATTTAATTACATGAATTATGGAAGCAAGTTCCTCTTTTTCTGGTTTTAAGGAATTAGCTGTGGACATTAGGGAAAGAACACAGCAAAAAATGTGTTGGTTTAGAAAGCCTGCTCAGCAGAGCAGTGGATGAAACTGCAATTATTTGTGGGATCGCCTTCAGTACGTTTTTGCCTATGGTTTACATAAAGGTATATGCCTGGAGGTTTCCTCGTTACAAGATATGTGTGTTAGAAAAGTCAAAGGAGGTAGTATTTCACAGTAGAACAGAGATGGTTTCTGTAGTTTTTTTTTTTTTTCTTTTTCCCAAAGATAAAGATGCTCCCATCCTCCAAGAAGAGAGATCTCCATCCAAGACTCTGGATACTCTTTGCAAAAGCACTTTCTGAAAACGAAGAGCCTCGGGATCAGTAACTTCTCTGAGTGCACAAACATACAGTACAGTATTGTGCCCACAAACAATATCAAGCCTGCATTCTGAAATGAGAATAACACTTGGAATGCTAGCAACAAGATGCTTTTTTGTGTTTGAAAATTTCAGGCTTTTAACAGATCACTGTGCCATCAGAATCAGTGATTCACAGAAATGAATTGTTGTTATCAAAGACACACGTTGCAAGTCTGGAGGGGGATTCAGGAAATGCAGCTTCAGCTAGTGCAAAGAACTGTCACCTCTTTGCTCTGGTTATCCATGTCCCTAAATTAGCCATGAGATAATTCTGCCACTTCACTGAACCTTTGTGCATTCTGCATTGAAGGGTGCTTATTCTTCCTTGTCCAGGGGGAAATGTTTTAGTGGTGTTTATGGAAAAAACAAGAGAATAAAGCTCCCATGCAAATCTTGTTTTGTGTATTTTCTTATTTGACTATAAAAATGGTATTCTTGAGGCCTTGGAGTCAGGGATATTTTAAAACTACTGATGAGCATCTTCCTACTGCTATCTTAATTAAATACTAGTGATTTACCCTGATACAACTGACAGTTTCTTCCATTACAAAATGTTTTCTTAGTGTGTGGAGGCATAAGAAGAGAGTGCATCATCAAGTGCGTCAACTGTTTCTATAAAATAGAAAGAGTGAAGCTTACTTCCCCTTGTAAAGTGTTTTGAGATCTACTGATGAAAAGCGCAGGAGAGTCAGGTAATTTTATTATTACTCCAGAAGAAATTTTACAGTGTATTCTTCTCAAACAATTAAAATATGTGATTAAAAGGATTTAGAATATTTTTCCTTTAGCTGCAATGGTAATAAGAGCTTAGAAACCACAATAAAATTGCTTTCCAAATGTAATCTGACAGTCTTGAACACTACTGTTTGTTTTCATGCACAAATCCCTCTACCTGTGGAGAGAGCTTGTTGACAGTTTCTGCTGTGCTCCTGCCTCAGGATACTGGTGACAATACTACATTTAAACATTGCCCCAGAAGCCAGAAAATCTCTGTTGCTTCTGTAAGTATCCCTGGCAAGCAGTGCAACCTCTTCTGTTTCTGTGATATGGAAGGCAAGGGGTATATCCATTGATCATATGTGTCTTTGTTTCATAACTGATAAATTAACCATCAACAGAATATGTTTCCTCAGGTTCAGTTTAAGCCCATTTCTTTCACACCTGGAGCATGACAGTCACCTCTGGGTGAGCTTCCACAGAAATTCTGCCGCGCCTTCCAGCGCATCAGTCTGTGCCTTGCAGGACACTGTCACAATCAGCACACACAGGGAAGCTGGGGTGCATGGTATGTAACTGGAGTCCTGGCTGCCCTGACCTAGAGCTTTGGAGATCTCTTATAACCTCGTATGGGATTTTAGAGCCACGTTGCTGACCAGTACATGGGAGCTGGGGATCTTGTCCATTAAAATCTGAAATTTCTGCAGCATTTTACCTTCCAGAGATTTTTGCCCTTTGGATTAGGAGGCTCTTCCCACCTGATGAAGACTGGTGGGAGGGAGGGGAAAAGAAACAGGCATATGTTTACTGTGAAGTTTTTCTTCCCATTCTTTCTGTTGTAGAGAGATAGCTGGTTGAGTGTGTTGAGAGCTCTCCTTATTCTCCAAGTATCTCTTGTCCTTTCTGAAAAATCCTAAAGGTGCCAGCACCGCAGGCATGAGGAATTTTGGGTCATCTTCTGTAAACTTATGCTCAGGCTAGTGGGCTCAAGAGGATTCAGAACAGTGTCGTATTATCTTTGTTTGCCAGAAAAAACATCTTTCAGGAGAAAAAAAAAAGCCAGAAACAAGTTAGTGCTTTGGATTTAAAAAAATTTTAAATTACGTATCAGGGCTCCTTTCAGGAATCTTTTTTTGCATATAAATGGCGAATGAGCTAAAAAAGGTTACACATTTTCTAGTTAATGTATTATCACCACTCTCTCCTGGATGGGGGACAGAACTAAAACTGATCATCTGTGTGTTGTAGCTCTGTCTCACTAGTAGCTGATAAAGGTTTTCCTTCAGCTCAGTAGATGATGTCTGACTTGCTGGAGAAAGAGTGCTGTAAAGTCAATTCTGATTTGCTGTTAAAGCAAACTGTAGTGGTAATATATAGCACATGATGTAATTTTTTTTTGAATGTCAGTGGTATAATTTTTTGTTATATTTAAAACCGATCCCTGAAACAGATTCCTTTGAGTGACAAACTAGCTCTACAATGGCCCCAGCAGTTGCCAGAAACCTGTTGTTTGCCCCAAGTGGTAGCTGAAGTCCCCAAAATCTTGTTTTACATTCACCTACAGTGGAGTGTAAGCAGGATCCCTCTCTTTCATGCAATAAGGGCACATACATTTAGTCAGTCGAGGGGACTGGTGGGTTTAGCATTCTTAATCGCTTTATAATTGGATTCTTTGTTAGGCCACTTTGTGTGCATTTATCAGCAAAGTCCAGATCAAGAGAGGTCAAGCAAACCTTCCCTGAACTCACCACTGCCCTTTCCACAATTGAGATCACTCCTTTAAACTTTAGAAGATCAACATTTTTCTTTGTGGCATCTGTGGACAAGGGTAACATTTACTTCAGATGAAATGTATTTCCGTAAGACTGACAGAAGGCCCCCACAGTCTTGCTTGCCTATGGGACCAGGGCAAGAGGAAATGCCAAGGGCAGCTCTCTCTCAGACCTACAGTCTTGTTTCTTTTTGATCCAGCGTGCATTTCTTTTTCATTCTTCCCTTAAGCAGTGAATTGAGCTCCTGTTGGATTGTTGACTTGTAGAGCACACATATAGTGGAAAGGTTACTTCAGTCAGGGGGAAAAAAAAAAGAAAAAAAAAGAAAAAGGAAAAGAAAATGTTCCTCAAATTGTGTGTTTGCAACTAGAAAAGGAAGCTCTCCCTCTCATAAACAGATGTGTAAAAAGCATAGAGGAGGTGTCCTCTTCTTTAGGTCACCCCCAGCAGTCATTCAGGATGACTTATTCTATCATTGTTTTTAACAGTAACATGGATGCTGTGGTCATGCTCGAGACCCCCACTCCTAGATCAGAATCCCATTTTGTTAGCAACTGTACAAATAATCCCATAGTGCCATGCAGAGAGGATCTTACAGCACTTTAAAAGATTACACAGAGCAATGATCAGGCCAAAAAACATTTGTTTCTAGTTTACAACGAGGGTCACACAATAAGCTTATTCTTTGGCTGGACGCAGAATGAGGAACTAGTGGTTCCTCACTAAGAGTTTTTTCTTTAAATTTACAAAAGAGGTTCACCCCATTATCTCCAAAAGAGCTTGTGACAATGCAGTGTGAAGATGAAAGCTTGATCTTAATTCTTTAAAATGAATATGTTGTCCTGGCACTGGGGAAGACTCAAGCGGGAAGAGACAGCAAATGAGAAAGAATGTAATAAAAGCAGGCCATTAATGGACCTCAGCAGTGTTCACAGTCAAAGTACATGAGCCTTGTATCAACCAGAGGCTGGGAAGACTAATGCAGTTTCACCAGCTGTGTGATCTTTCTACCAACTAGAGCAAGAGGTTTACAGTTGGGGGTTCAGTTCTGAGAACATAACCTCCATTGTAGAGTGTACCCCCCACTCACATACAAAAGTTTGATGTCCCTCCAAGGGACAAGGACAGTGAAGGCCACTAATATGAACCAACTGATTCAAAGACACATGTCTTAGGACGTGAAAATGGAGCAACCATATGCTGGATGAAACCAGTTCTCTTCAAAATTTGTGCAGGGTGCAGAAGAGCTGTGAGGGTTTACCTGAAAGGTGGAACAATGAAATTAAGTTTTTCATTAGTACTTAAAACCACTAAGGCTAAAATATTTGATACCAACTCTGACCACATATGTCTGACTTGCTGTCCTTCAAGACAGCAAACCATAGGACTGATTTTTAAATGCCAGCTAGAAATTCTAAGCTGTCCAGAGAGTCCTCAAGCCATAAGAAAGTACTCCCCTGGTCTGGATACAACTTTATACTCAAGTCTCTGTGTATAAACAGTGCATGCACAATCACCCATATTTATTGGTATCTGAGTTTTGCAGTTACAAATTCAGCCACTTGCTGACAAAATTCCTGCTTCTCAGAGACTGTGCACACAAGCCTTTTCACATAAAAGACATAATTTATTTCCCAGTTTTGTCACTTTGAAAATGTGACTATTTCTGAAATATTACTGAGACAAATAGTTTAGATCTGGCTAAGAGTAGGTCTCTAAAGTTGGAGCAAATGTGAGTTAACTTCAGCGCCAGTCTCCCAAATAAATGTATTGTGAAAGTTTCCCTAGTGCTTTCTCTATATAGGGCAATACCTTCTCTTCATCTGTCCTTGGACAGAAAGTTTTAATTCTATATCATTTTGCTAGTGCTATGTAACATGCTAAAGATGGATTGGCATATTTAGTTTGTAATTTTGCACCAGGCCACAAAGAAGCCTCTTACTCAAAATCAACCTGTGGTTGCCCAGAGGCAAGGGAAGTTTGCAAGCTCTGTAGAGAATAGAACTGTTGTTTGAATTTCTGAATAGGTGGAAACTGTGCTCAAGTATTTGAGGCCATATTTGGTTTCCATTTAGTGGTACAAAGGGAAGTACCGTATGTACCATGGGTGAAGTAGCATATGAAACTCCTCTTTCCAGGGACTGAAACACTGAGTGTTCCCAGTGCTTAGGCTCACATACAGGCCATTGGTAGGGTAATGTTAGGGTATATTTACAGCTGGCCAACCCTGACTTGTGGTTAAATGAATGAGATAGCTACATGAAAAACAGCATAAATAAGAAACCTCATGAATAAATAAGAAAAGCCTACTGGCTTAAAGGATTTGCTGACCATGATTAAGACAATTATATCACAAATACCAAATAAGGAGTAAAATCAGTAAAATTGACCCAACTGGGAAAGACTAAACAGTGGCAGGCTGCTTATTTCCAAGAGGATGAGGTAGTAAAGAGTAAGAACTTAGGAAGGGAAAAGGAAATATAAGGAGTAGTGCAGCAGGTGGTCTGGGTTGTTCAGGGGTAGCTATCAAGTAGCCCTACACCACCTGATCAATGCAACAGAGCAGAACAATAAGCCCATTGTTCTGACCATATGTGTGTCTGACCTCCACAGCTGGGAAGACCTGAAATACTTTCCCTAACATCCTCGAGGAAACAGCCAGAGGGGATAGACCAAACTCCCTAGCAGGCAACAAAGACACACAGAGTGTAATATCATATGCTTGTAAGTCTGGCTGGCTAGCTCTGACTTCAAGTGTTTCTTCCTCCCATTCCCAACAAAGGACAGAACCAACACTGGATCAGAATCAGAGAGTTTTACTGCAAGAATCATGTTACATCTTCTACATGAACTGGTAAGAGAAGAAATCGTTTTCTAAGCTAGGGTAAT